GAGCACTCTGGTTTCTGCAGAATCTGCCGGAGGGGTTGATCTGTGAGGACGATGATTGGGTGTGACTGGAAATATGGCCTCAACTTCCTGGCCGAAGTGACAACTGCTAGTGCCGCTTTCTCCGCCATAGGATATCTCAGCTCTGCTCCATGCAATACACTGCTGAGATAATAGATTGGTTTCTGGTGCTTGGCTTCTTCTCTTACCAGAACTGAACTAATGGCCTCATCTGAAATTCCCAGATACAGATAAAGAATCTCCCCATCTATAGCCTTAGTTAGTAGAGGTGGCGAGCTAAGATAAGACTTCAGATCATCGAATGCAGTTTGGCATTCCTTAGTCCATTCAAATTTCTTCTGTTTCCCTGACCCATCCTTCTGGGCGGCCGACCTCATAATTTTGAAGAATGGTAAACACTTATCCACTGACCTGGAGATAAATCGATGCAGAGCTGCCACCCTTCCAGTCAACCTCTGTATATCTTTAATTGACTTCGGCGGTTCCATCTCGGCAATTGCTCTGATCTTCTCTGGATTGACCTCAATCCCTCTTCGGGACACCATGAAACCTAGAAACTTTCCAGACTCCACTCCAAAGATACACTTGGCTGGGTTTAACCGCATTCGATTCTTTCTGAGGTTGGTAAAGGTTTCGTCGAGGTCGGCGAGATGATCTTCTGCTTTTAGGCTCTTGACCACAATGTCGTCGACATATACCTCCAGATTCTTGCCAATCTGAGCGTGGAAGACAATGGTTACCATTTTCTGATAAGTAGCACCTGCATTCTTCAAGCCAAACGGCATCATGACATAACAATAAATTTCATCACCAGCATAGAACGCAGTTTTCTCTTCATCTTCTGGAGCCATTGGCACCTGGTGATACCCCGAATATGCGTCCAAGAGGCTTAACCTCTCATTGCCTGAAGCCGCTTCAACTAATTTATCGATGCTCGGCATTGGATAGCAATCCTTAGGGCAGGCGTTCTTAAGATTTGTGTAGTCAATACACATTTGCCATTTGCCATTTGCCTTCTTCACCAGAACTGGGTTAGCCACCCATTCGCAGTAATCAACTTTCCAGACAAAACCAGCTTGTAGGAGTTTCTCTACCTCTTCTTTAATAGCCTGAAGCCTCTCCCCCCCGAAGAGACGCCGTTTCTGTGCCACTAGTTTCTTCAATGGATTGGTACTGAGCTTATGTTGACATACTGAAGTTGGGATTCCTGGCATATCTGCCGAAGTCCATACAAATATATCATTGTTAGCTCGGAGAAAAGCTATCAGTTCTGCCCTCTCCTCCGGGTTCAATCTAGTTCCTATCTGTGTCGTTCGGCTCGGATCTCTGTCATCAATAAGTACTTCTTCAACATCTTCGACCAGAGCAGCTCTGGTTTCATCTTCCAGTCGATTATCGACGATCTCAACACCCATAACTTGTTGATTATCAGAAATTCGCTGGGGAATGACCTCGGGTGTCTGAGCTTTGCCTTTCATCGGTTGTGTTACCGAGGTGATATAACAATGTCTGGCCACCTCCTGGTTTCCTCGCAGTGTTGCAATTCCCATAGGAGTGGGGAATTTCATGCAGAGGTGGGATTGGGAAACCACAACTCGGATTTCAGTCAATGTGGGTCGGCCAATAACAATGTTGAAAGAGGAGGCCATCTTGACGACGAGGAATCAGACCGACGGGGTCACATAGGTCCTGCCACTTCCAAAAGCCACATGAAGGGTAAAACTCCTTCTACCGGAATAGGTTGGTTGTTGAAACCATAGATAGGACCATCATACTTCTGCAATAATGCTGGGTCTAGTCCAAGACTCTCGAAACAGTGGAAATACATGATGTCTGGTGCACTCCCGGTGTCAACAAGGATACGCTGTACTTCGCAGTTATTGATCATGACAGAAGTGACCAGGGGATCATTGTGGGGTGTAACAACTGTGTCGAGGTCAGCGGATGTGAAAGTAATGGGTTGATTCTTCCACTCAGCATCGTCGATCTTCCGCTTCTGGGCTCGGTTCTGATGTTTAACCTCTCTAACATACAGCTTTCGCTGCTTATAGCTCAGTCCACCTGCTTCAAGGCCTCCCGTAATCATATGTATGATTCTAGCCGGTGGTGGGAGCGGAGGTGGGGCTTGCTGATATCCCACACCTTGTCTATTTGGGGGATTGCGAACTCCCTGAGGTTGCGGTCTCTGCTCTCTGACGAACCTCGGTTGTTCAACTCTCTGGACATACTCATTCAGCATTCCCTTCTGAGCTAAACTTTCCAGTTTGGATTTTAAGCTGTTGCACTGCTCTGTAGTATGGCCGTGATCTTGATGAAAATCACAATATCTGGTGTGGTCACGACTAGCAGTAGCAGTTCGCATTGGGCCAGGACGTCTCAAGTCCATTTTGTTGTTTATCTGCATAAAAATTTGTGACCTCGGCAGATTAAAAGGAATCCAATTAACTGGAGGTTTACCTACAGACTGTTGCTGGGGTGTTGAGTTCGTCCTTCCGAATCTCGATGGGGAGGTCAACATCGGACCTCTGCTCTGTGCCATTCTCATCCTTTTTCAGCTTGGATTGTCATCTCTCCATTCTGGGTTCTGGTTCTTAGGGGAAGGTGGGTTTTGTGCCAGGGCATACTCTTCAGCGGTTATAAACTTCAGAGATCTATCGTTCACCTCGCTGAAGGTGGTGGCAGCATGTTTGATCAAACTGTCTCTGAACCTGTCATGCTTAAGACCGGAGATCACAGTGGCAATCCCTACAGCTTGATCAAAGGAACTAACCTCTAAAACTGAATCATTGAACCTGCTCATGTAGTTCTTTAGAGATTCTCCGTCCCTCTGTTTAACTCGCATCAATTCAGTAGTAGTTTTCCTAATCAACCTTCTACTGGAAAACTTAGTGGCAAAGGCAGATGCCATTTCTGTGTAAGAACTGATCGACCTCGGAGGTAGACTATAATACCAAGTTCGAGCATTACCTCGCAGAGTAGAGGGGAAGATCTTGCACATTAACGCGTCAGAGGCATTATGTGCTTGCATGCAAGAGTAAAAAGCATGCAGGTGATCATCGGGATCCTTCGTCCCATCATAAGTCTCCAGTTGTGGTATTTTGAAGCCAGTAGGATAGGGTTCCAGTGTGATGTTGGTATTCAGGGGATGAGGTATGGAATCAGTAACATTGCGTGGGGGTGGAGGATCTCGGTGTTCAGCTATCAGCTTTTCTAAGCTATCAAGGCGGCGAGTAACATCATCAGGGATGGGTTGCTGAGCGGGTGCTATGTGGGATTGATCCTGAGATTCGCTAATAGCGGGAGCGGGTTGAACTGGTTGGGGATTCTGTTGTGAAGCTGGGGATTGTTGAGCAGGGTTTAGTAAATTAATGAGGGGATCACCAGGGTTGTTTCTAGCTAAAAGCTGAGCTAGTACCAACTAAAAAACACCAAACTGCTGCTGCATGGCAGCAAGCTGAGCTGTCACCGCGTCTTGGTTGGCAGTGGAAGTTGAATTGTGAGCTGAGGTATGGGGTTGGTTTTCATCTCCTCCTTCTGCATGATCAACAGGAGGGAACATAATTGGGACCTGAGGTGGAAGCTGAGGTGGAATTTGAAGTGGGATTTGAGGTGGAATCGGAAGCGGGAGGTTGTTGGAGGGTTGACCTTGCCCAAGAGGCAGAGATGAATTACCAGCTCTAACTGATCGAGTGTGAACCATAATAGAAGAGCAATCAGAAAGCTTTCAGTTCGATTCCCACAGACGGCGCCAATGTAATTGCACCAAACCGGAAGTCCTTCTCCAGTCCGTGCTTGCACTTCGGGATGACCTGCAAAGCCCCGAGGTGGAACTCGGGGTAGACACTCCGATGCTTAAGTCAGCAATAATCGGGGCTACCTTTAGGGCGGAGATAAGAAAAGCTTAAGGTTGGTTTCAATTACCTTTTTGACGTGGCCCGGGGGGGTATTTATAGGATTCAATGAGGAACCCACGTGGCATGCCAAGCAAGATAATCGGAGCCTGACGTGTCCATCCAGACGGTTATTCCGGGACCGGGAATTTGAGAGGTATCTAGATGCACGAGCGTCCACCATACTTGTTGTGCCACTCACCGTAAAGAATCAGGTGCAGGCATACTTATTGTCCTTGTCATGCAGCCATTTGAGCGGGAAGTTCTGGATTTATTCCTCACTTCGGTCATAAAGAAATTACTGTAGCAGTCCGAGGCTTAGCACCTCGGACCTATCCTTACATATCCTTACAGGTAGAATGGCTAGAAATGAGGTGATGGATCTATGGAAAAAAATCCTTTTAGTCTGACTAACCTGCAGATAAATTTATTCTCTATTGATTTGATAAATTATACACTTCATGCATTACTCATGTTAGAAAATTTCTGCTATTTTGTTGTCTTAAGAAGCTGTCTGCTAGTTCTCAAGTTACTGATCATCCCATATCAACTAAAGTTTAACCGAGTCAGTGGAACTGGTTTTGTAGATTTTCTGAAATCCTATGATTAAAAGAAAACAAAAGTGACAAAAATAAGGAAGTAGGAGCGGAGATTATAAGTGATTGGAGCCAGGATTTTTTGTTATTTAATCTTCAACTTTTTTTATTAAAAAAAATTAATCTCTCCACTCATGTTTTCCTAATGAAGCAAACTTCTATATTTTACTTAGGACATGTTTGGTACAGTTTGTTGAAACTTTTACTCTTAAAGTATTGTTCATGATTGATAAATTTAAATTTTTATTAGAAGAAAAATTTAAAAATTATTTTTAAAGATAAAAAAAATAAGTAAAAAGTTGATAAAAAAAATTTATGAAACACTTGAATTTAAAATTTTTAAGTTTTTACTGTTTAAAATTTTTTTAAAGATAAAAAAAATTTAAAAATATATATTTAAAAAAATTTAAATTTATAAAATATAAATAATATTAAAAAATTAAAACAATTAAAAAACTACACCAAACACACCTTTAATATGATCAATAGCAAATTTCTTGCCTTAGGTAGAAGTTGTACCATTCGGTAGAAAGCACTGTTTATATTTCTAGTCACATCAATGAAAGGAAATGAGTCGTACTTCACCAAAAGAGGGATCAGGGTGTCGCTTTCCTTCCCCTCCAAGTCTTCTTTTCACACTAGAAGTTGATTATATAAGTAGAATGGCCCCGAGCACTGAAACGGAGAAGTTTAAGTTTCCACCATTTTCCTTGATTTTGTTCTTTTCACTTTCAAGATAATGTTTTTTGGTAGAGGGCTCCCTCAACTTGTCTGTGCACTTGTAATTTTACTGCATGCGGGAAGTGCTGTTGGATTCAATTCAACATCTGGAGCTGCTGAGGTTAGGTGCAGGGAGAGGGAAAGACAAGCACTTCTCATGTTCAAACAAAGTCTGGTTGATAAGCAAGGTGTGCTTTCCACATGGGGAAGTGAAGAACGGAGAAAGGATTGTTGCAGCTGGACAGGAGTTAAATGTAGCAACAGAAGTGGGCACATAATTTGGCTTGATCTTCATGATAAATTTTTAAATGGTACGCTGAGTCCTTCTCTATTTGAATTGCAGTATTTAACTTATTTAAACCTCGGTTTGAATGATATTCGTTCTAGCCGCATTCCAGAGCCAATTAGTTCACTCAAGCGATTAAAATATCTTAACCTTTCCTTTAATAGTTTAAGTGGATCTCTTCCTAGTCTGCTTGGAAACCTTACAAGTCTGCGTTACCTTGATCTTCGTTTTAATGAATTTCACAGTGTTGAAAATTTTGAGTGGCTCTCTCATCTTTCTTTTCTGAACTACCTTGATCTGAGTGGAATCGACCTTAGTAAGGTTAATAATTGGCTGCAGGTGGTTAATAAGCTTCCTCATCTAACCAACCTGCAACTCCATTATTGTAATCTTCTAGATGTCGTTCCTCAACCTCTCCCCATGATCAATACTTCTACTTCTCTTGTTGTCCTTGACTTATCAAGTAATAACTTGACTGCCTCAATGTTTCAATGGCTTTTCAACTTTAGCAACACCCTTGTCTATCTCGACCTATCTGAAAATCAGTTACAAGGTTTGATTCCACAAGCGTTTGGTAACATGATTTTCCTAGAAGAACTAAGTCTCTGGGGTAATCAATTTGAAGGTGGGATTCAAAAATTCTTTGGCAACATGTGCAAATTAAGGCTTCTATACCTGTCATCTAACAATCTCAAAGGAATGCTTCCTGAGTTCTTTGGTAACTTATCCGGATGTCTACAACTTACCTTGGAGACTTTGGACATAGATAATAACAGATTCATGGGACCCTTGCCCGATGCAATTAGAAACTTTTCGTCATTGAAGTTGTTGTCTCTTTCAAGCAATACACTAAATGGGACTGTATCCAACTTGATCGGACTCTTGTCCAAACTTGAGGAATTGGATATCAGTAACAATTCCTTTAACGGGGTGATCAGTGAGGCACATTTCTCAAAGCTCTCCAAGTTAAAAAGGTTGACAATGTCTTCTAATTTTCTGAGTTTCAACATTAGCCCTGACTGGATTCCACCTTTCCGGTTGGATTACATAGATCTCCAATCTTGCAAGTTAGGTCCAAAATTTCCAAAATGGTTACAAACTCAAAGAGACTTCTCATTTCTTGATATCTCTAATAACGAAATTTCAGATAGCATTCCCAAGTGGTTTTGGGACCTATCTCCTAGAGCGACCTATGTAAACATTTCTTCCAACTGCATCTATGGAATTCTGCCAGATTTGTCAATGAAGTTTTCTAGTCTTCTTCTTGGGATAGATTTGAGTCAAAATAAGTTGGAGGGTCCATTACCACTATTCCCTGCTAATACCAATGTATTATCACTTTCCAGCAATGGGTTTTCTGGGAATATTTCTTCTCTCTGTTCTATAACTGGTCAGAACCTTCAGCTCCTTGATCTTTCATTCAATCAACCATCCGGAGAGCTTCCTCACTGTGTGGCGAGTTGGCCACGTTTATTGATTTTGAATTTGGCTCACAATCATTTATTTGGGGAAATTCCAAGCTCTATTGGATCTCTCAACTCGCTTTCAGCATTTTCTTTGTGCAATAACAACTTTTCTGGCGAAATACCTGGGTCTTTAGGAGACTGCACGCGCTTGGAACTTTTGGACTTGAATCATAATAATTTCTCGGGACTTGTACCAGACTGGATTGGAGGAAGATTGGGTAGCCTAACTTTCCTTCTCCTGCGATCCAATAATTTCTATGGAGACATCCCTCTTCAACTTTGCCATTTGACAAATATCAAGGTGCTGGACTTCTCTAACAACAGTCTCTCTGGAAACATACCATGGTGCATTCATAATATGACTGCCTTGACCAGAAGGGAAAGTTTGGTCGATGAGGGTCGACTTGCTAGAACTGCCCTTTTTGACAAAGCGTCTATTGTGTGGAAAGGAACAGAATATGAATTTGGAAAAAATCTCTGGCATCTGAGGCTCATTGATCTTTCAAGCAACAAATTAACCGGGGAAATTCCACAGCAGATTTGTAGTCTCTTTGAACTGGTGCAATTGAATTTATCAAGAAATCAATTGACAGGAAGGATTCCAAAAGATATAGGACAGATAAGAAGCTTAGAATCACTTGATCTGTCAGGAAACAAGCTTTCAGGTCAGCTTCCTTTAAGCATGTCCCAGTTGAGTTTTCTCAATACCTTGAACCTATCAAACAACAACTTTTATGGGAGAATTCCGTCAAGCACCCAATTGCAGAGCTTTTCTGCCTATGCATTTATTGGTAATTCTGCACTATGTGGGCCTCCGCTAACACCAGCATGCCCAGAAGATGAAAAACCGTCAGATGGTGGAGGCAGGTATATCCAAGATGACGAAGACGGATTCTGGAAGGGGTTTAAACCCAGCATGGAACTTGGAATGGCTTTTGGTTTCTTCGGAGTTCTGGCTTTAAAGTTGGATCATCCATGGAAATATGTCTGTATCCTGCTATTCAACTACATGAAGTTCCACCTCAGCAACTTGAAGGACAAACTCTGTTGGATGGTGGAAGTACTTGGTTTGGCGGTAAAAGTGAATGCTACCAGATTACGAAGAAAGTTGTGGTTTTAAGACGCATCACTCTCTTTGGAGTACCGTGGGAAGTGGGTATGTATTAAGTTTGTTTATGCTATCTTGTTGATTAAGCGCATTACTTCCTTGAATAACAAATCACCTTTGACTGTTTTTCTCCAGGTTCAAAATGTTTGTCAAGGCTTCAGCCTTCAAGGACTCAACTTCTCTGTTGAAGTGAGATTCCAGCATTTCTTTTCTACCCTCACAGTATTCCACATCTGGCTTCCTTTCTGAGTAGAAGTGTATTTCTTTTTTCTACATATGTGTGTGCATGTTATGTTGTGGTCTAAATGGATGTTTATGTCTTGTGTTGTATTAGCTTTCATCCACACTTGTGTTGGATGGTTTGTTTATGTTTTCCGTACGGGCAATAATTCAATAAAAACAGCTATGCAAATCACCTAGTTATTAAACTGAAATAATCCTTTCTTTTTACATCTCAGTATTGGCTATACAATACCATACCCCCTTTCGCTTGTTTCATATATGAACTAAAGTCTTCTAATATGAAAATCCTATAGAAAGAAGAATTTTTGTTAGTACAAAGGTCCAATAAGAAAACTAAGTTCTTACTCCTGAAAACTTGTAACATGAAAGTGCCATATGTACTAAATATGAGTTAAGGGACACCAAGGAAATTAAATCATAACTGAGGTAAAAACTGAGAAAAATCACTTCAACATATGTCCCATGGACCTTGAATCGTATATGAGCGATACATTTATCACAAGAACAAAGAATTAGATAATGTTTTACGTAAAAATGTTAATGGATGCACCTAATACATGTTTCTTGTTGACCCATCTCCACTTTTTTGCAGAGTTTCTGTTTACCAAATTCTCTTTTGGAGATCTATATATTCCTGAAATTTAGAGCAAGTACAGCAAAAGTATTGATTCTAAAATTCATGTCAAACTGTAAGGAAAGAAAAAAAAAATCACCATGGATGGCGAATCAAAAGTAACACGATTCAGAGCACCAGAGAAAGAAGAATGAGATTCCAAAGAGGGGAAACATCGGAGAAGAGGGTATTTTGGTTATAGGAGTGTGGAGGCTGCAGGGTGGAATTGGAGGATTTTTTTGGACCGTTGGCATTAATTAATGAATAGATAAAAATGTGGTTTTGATATGTAAAATGGGTCATATCATAATGTGAAAATTCAATTTAGACCGTTGGGGGCTGGGTCAAATTTCATTGACTATTGCGCTGATCAACTTGGGCCAATACCTAGGCCGCGTAGCCTCGTCGGAGTAGCATTCTGATATTGGGCTGAGCTGTTACATTGGCCCAAAAACGTGACGACAATTGCGCACACGCAACAGTAACAGATCACCCCCCGTCCACGTGGCAAAGCAGGACAGGCGAAGCCAGCCGCGGAGAGTCACGGAGCAGAATGTCGATCTACATAAAACTGAAATTCGGCCTACAAAAATACCAAAACACCTTTGAATGAATTTACTTCTGTTTAACTGATAATTTCTGGTTATTTTTGGCTTTAGATTCTCATTTTTCTTCTTTAATTAGCCTCTATTTCAGGACTCAAATAACCTTAATCATATCTGTGTATCTCTCTGTGTCGATGCTAAAAACTCCATTAGTTTTGTTGGTTTTATTAATAAAAGCTACTATCTCCTATGATTACCAAGAAAATGGGGATAAATCTGGACTTCAACCTTGTTCTTAAGTTGCAAGCACCAAGAGGAGAATGATAGTTACCAAAGGGCTTGCAGCAGCTGGATCAACATTTACATGTAAATATATATATACATCAAATCATTGTACAGAATTATTCAAGGAAGAATACAATCAATTTCTTCTAATTCTTTCTGCTATCAGATCAGAAATGAAGATCTGCTCCTGTGATACGCAAACAATTTGCTTCAGTTTTACAATTTCATTAGTAGGTACCAGCTTGATTAAGATCTTCACTCGTTGTTGCTATGAGTTTCTATTCACAACAAGAAAGCTGTCCTCTGAAACCAGTTGCTATGGGTTTTGTTATCTACGCTTGATGAGCTTCAAGGATCTGGAGGCGGGTTTTATGTCTTTGTTGGAGGAATAACCCCAACTCCTCTTGGAGAAGACAAGTCCACTGCTACTGTTGGGATGTGTCAAGCTTTGGGTGCACTTCTGGAAAAAAAGGTAATTGTGTTGTTCTTCAAACTTATGGCATTTCCATGAGGTTTCGTTATCTATAAAGGTTTGGCGATAAGAAATTGTAAATCCTCTGATGTGCTTATGACAGCGTTTGTAGAAAGAAAAGTGGTGTTATGTCAAGTGTTTTATACTCACCGTTTTGCTGTCTGAACAATCCTGATAACTAGTTGAAATGCTAGGTTGTTACCTGCCTTCGTCAACCATCGAAAGTGTTCATTTTTTTCTCAAAGACATAAATGGAGAGAATCGGTAGGAAGATGATGAAGAGCAGAGCATAATCTAAAATGGAGAGAAGTGTATCACTTCAACTCAAATTTTCTCATTGACCAACTGTCCTCTATATATAGGAGAATACAATCTTTAAAACAATTCAAAATTCAAACAACTATTCTACGTTAAAAAACAATAAAATTACATTTGAAATTTGAATATGTGACAGCCACTTTTGCTGCAGCTTGCGTCCTTTGGCAGCTCTGCAGCCTCTTTGCAGCCTTTCATTTCATTTGCATTTCGTTTACATTTCATTTCAGCCTCATTTCCTCAACATTTGCAGCTTAGATTGCTGCTACCGTGCTGTTTGTGCAGCTCTCCCTTTTTCATCATTTTGCTGCCATTTTGTGCAGCTTTCATTTTCATTTGCTGCTACTTTGGCAGCTTGAACACCACAACTCCAAGGACCAGCCTTTGGAATTAAAGGGGGTGCAGCTGGTGCTGGTTACAGTCAGGTGATCCCAATGGAGTTCAACCTTTATCTTACTGGTGATATCCATGCCATAACTGCTGCAAACAATCTTCTAGCTGCTGCATTGATATTCGATTTTCCATGAGTCCAGTCAGTCAGAAAAGGCTCTGTTTAATCGGTTGTGCCCACTAAATAAAGAAGGAAAGCGAAGCTTTAGTGATATCATGTTCAGACGTTTGAAGAAGCTCGGTATTTCCAAAACCAAGCCTGAGGAACTTACACCTGAAGAAGTTAAAAGATTTGCTAGGCTTGACATTGACCCAAATTCTATCACATGGAGAAGAGTGATGGATGTGAATGATCGATTTTTGTGGGAGATTACCATTGGCCAGGGGCAAGAAGAATAGGGATGGTTAGGGAAACGGGATTTGATATTTCTGTTGCCAGTGAGATAATGGCAGCTTTAGCCCTGACATCACCTCTCTCTGATATGAGCCTTTCAAAAATAAAAAAAAAAACCTCTATCTGATAGGAGAGAGAGGCTTGGAAAAATGGTGATTGGAAATAGCAAGGCTGGTGAACCTATAACTGCTGATGATCTTGGTGTTG